GTTTTGTAACCTGGTCATAAAAAGAGACTAGATTAGTCAGGCATGATCTACCTGCTACGAACCCGTGCTGGTTTCCCCTCAGCATAATTTTTCCTGCCGGGCTCTCGCAAATGTGAGCCTTGATAATTTTTTCAAAGACTTTGCCAAGGATGGAGGTGAGACTGACTGGCCTACAGTTGCCTGGGTCCTCCTTCCTCCCCTTCTTGAAAATGGGGACCACATTGGCCCTTTTCCAGTCTTCCAGGACCTGGCCCATGTGCCATGAGTGTTCAAATATTCCCGCCAGTGGCTGTGCAGTGTCGTCAGCCAGTGCCTTCAGCACCCTCGGATGAAGCTCATCCGGGCCTGCCGACTTAAACGCATCCAGTTCCTCCAAGTGACTCTGCACCATCTCAGGGTCTACGCTTGGTAGTCTGGCACCTTGCTGCTGCCTCTCTACAATCCCAGTGAGAGACTTGTCTTGCTCTTCAGAGACATTAACTTTCTTAGGCATTTGGCACATGTTAAAATAGGATAGGATAGGATCTGTTCTCCGGTCCTGACAACTATGCATCCTGCCATGCCACATATATATATTTGGAAAAATTTCTACTGATCAGACTGGTGAAACACTGACCTGGGCTACCAGTAGAGGTTGTGGAATCTCATTCATTGGAGGTTCTAAAGAAATGGATAGACTAACATCTATCCAATATCTAAGAACATCATAGCACAATGTGGTAAGTATTGTATCAATTTTATAAACAGAGACTTGAAAGAATTAAATTTGTCAGGTGGATTTTCATGTTTTTCTTCCATAGTGTTAAGTTGAAGTCTTAATAATTATCTGTTATATTATTGGAGTATTTACCATGTTTTATTATCTCCATGCACATATTCCATGCTTTGCTACACTGTATATACGTGCAGTCACCAAATCTCTCTTTGTCAATCTAGTATTTTTCTATATAACCCACTTCCCTATTCCAGCTGAAGATGAAGATCCTCTGAACAAAAATGTGCAGTGCACTGATTTAATTACCAAAAATGTAAAGGACTTAGAAATGTTTTCTTATAGGCACCAGTCTTTCAAAATGATCAACATAAATGGATCCTTAAGTGTGTGCAATATCCTATTGAATTCCTTGCTGGCTCATGATTCTACCCACGCAGACCAACCGGTAGGATTAGCTGTTATATATTCAGCAGTGAAACTAGGACAGGACAGCTGGGGCAATCATCCGGGGAGCTGATCTGGGGGAGGCGTAATGTGAAAAAAGGCTGCCATGATTGCACTGGAGGTGCAGCAGCAACTAGAATTCGCTGCATTGCTACGCTGGCTGCATTGCTACACTGCTGAATTAATGGTGGCCTTTTATGTCAAGCTACAGATTTCTGTAGTTAAAAAAAAAAAAGAAACTGCTGACTTCTCTGGTAGGAAAATTGTTGACTCTTTTGGCAAAAGAAAGTTGGTATTAGGAACAACAAAGGAAAAACTTTCCCAATGATTTTTGTGTGGGGATGAGGATCCCCCGTGGTGGAGCTATTAGCAAAATCAAAGTCCAAACCAGTGACTGTTTGGAAGCCAGTGAATCATCAGCTCCAACTTCCTTCACTCAGATACTCCTTAAGATACTAGTACCTAATTAACATTATTAATACTAATATTATTAGTATTACTCAGCAAGATATTGTAATTTCCTCCCTTTTGCTCTTCTTTCCTAGCACTTAGAAAAAATGACAGCCTTGGAATCTGAAGTTCTTGATTCATCTATGAAACAGGTATAGCCTCAGATCAGCAAATAGCCTTAACCAGTGATATACGTCAGTGGGCATGTCTATACAAGATGCTAAATGTGCAGTAGACCAATTCTACTGCGTATTACCACAGCAGGCAAAAACCATAATAATGCGCTAATGCACAGTAGAATTAGTCTACTGCGCAATAGTGTCGCAAAAAAAGCATGTGCTGGTGCTACTGTGGAGTACCACCAATTACAGTGCATTAAGTTAGTACCTGGTATTACAGAGCATTAATGAATGAGTAGACATGCCCACTGATTCTTAACCAGGGTGCTGCAGTACAAACCTGATGCAAGATCCTTTTAAGGGATGCCATGGAACATTAGCACTGTTAGCTGTGCAAACACCTTACACCAGTGATCCTCAACCAAGGAGTCATGGCACCCTGGGGCACTTTGGAGTAATTTCAAGGGTGCCACAGGATCCCACACAGTGGTTTATGAACATGAGTCACAAGATAAACTCAGAGCTTTCAAACAAGAATCCATAGTTGTGGTTCTTTCGAGTTCTTACAACAGAAAAACGCCTCCATTATTTGTCTGTAGACAAAACAAGACCAAAATCTAAGAGCTGGTATTTTCTGAGGGCTGCCTCAGGTCTGTCAGGGGTCCAGATGCTAAACATGTTGAGCACCATAGACCTACATGACTCAAGTTGAATCCAGAGATTTCAGACCAGACTCCGCAGTGCCCAACCATGCTGACCCACTGGGGTCATTCACAATTTTTGCACCATAGAATCATCGAAAATTATGAAATTATGGAAGGGACCTCAGAAGATCATCTAGTCAAATCCCCTGCTCAAAGCAGGACCATCCCCAAATAGATCATCCCCCCCAAGCCTCTGTCTAGCCAGGTCTTAAAAACCTCCAAAGATGGAGAGTCCACAACCTCTCTGAGTAATCTGTTCCAATGCTTTACTACCCTCCTAAAAAGTTTTTTCACCCCAGATGTGGCCTCACCAGTGCCTAATAGAGGGGAATAATCACTTCCCTGAATCTGCTGGCAGCTCCTACTAATGCAGCCCAGGACGCTGTTAGCCTTCTTCACAAGGGCATACTTGGCTCATATTCAGCTTATTGTCATCTGTAACCCCCAGGTCCTTTTCTGCAAAGCCAGTCAGTCCCCAGCCTGTAGCAATGCATGAGATTGTTCCATCCTATTTGCAGGACTTTGCACTTCTCTTTATTGAACCTCATGAAATTTCTTTTGGTCCAATCCTCCCATTTATCGAGGTATCTCTGAATCATAGCACTACCCTCCAGCAAACTTGCTGAGGGTGCACTCTATCCAGTCTTTCAGGTATTGATATTGAACAAAACTAGCCCCAGAATTTACTTTCATTACTTTGAGATTAGGCTGCAGCAGATTTACTGCAAATACTGCAAATATGCCTTTTGGAAATACTCATTCAAATTCTAGATGGATATTCAATTCAACCATGTTGGTTGGACCCCTTTTTGTCCAACTGAAGGGTGTTTTGTTTGGAAAATACTTTTTCTATATATAAATATCTAGACTTGTATCCAAACAAGAATATTCTCTCAGCCTCAAGGGAGGTGGAGAGAAAACATTATTTCAAATTTACCTGAGCCATTTTCTTAAAGAATGGGCTCTGTTATTTCTTCCTAGTCCAAAACTGAGGACAAGCCCAGAGCTGGCATTGTCTGAGGGGGGCCTTGAGTGTAAGAAAGCTGAGGACCAGCAGCCTTGGTACTGGCCCAAAGAGCTTCGCAGCCTTGCCAAGACAACAGGCTTCCACCCTGCCGGGTCGTGACGCACGCTTCCTCCTGGGCCTTCCTTGGTTCTTCTTTGGCTCAAGGCCGCTGGTCCTGGTGCCTGGAAGGCTCCATGAACCAACATCATCTCTCTGCACTTAAGGCACAATTAACCACTCAGTCAGGCCTTATGTTGTGACCCTGCCACATAAATGAGGCATAAGCCTCCAAGCCAGTCCACACAAAATGTGCAGTAACTACGTGGCTCCTTCTTACCACGCCATGAATTGAGCGTGTGGCCAGCTGCTCCCCAGTGGCCCCCTCAGGTGAGGGGGCTCCCAGACACGGGGAAGCACACTGGGTGGCAGGGGCAGCGCTTGGATCTTGGCCTGGAGGTGCGGGGCTGGCAGGCAGCGCAGGGGCAGCCTGGGATGGGATAAGGCGATGAGGTGCAGTGCTGCACCTCAGTGGCACCTCCTCCCCACACAGGCGCCTCTGCGGGGACGCTTTACCATCTTTCATTTTCCCTGAGCCTGAGGATGGGGACGTGCGTGCCTAAAAGCTTGCAGAAAAAAATAACTTTGTTTTGCGATTTCTTAGTGGGTCTAATAAAAGGTGTCATCTCTGAATCACGAGTTGTAGTTCTGCATTTCTTGTTTTGTCTCGGACCAACGCGGCTACCAAATACATCCCTGAAATGTGGAAGATGCTGAATTTTGGCCGATTTTTGGATTTTAAACTTCATTGCAGAACAAGAAGAAAGATTTTTAAACCTCCCTGTTTGCCACAGGACACCTCCAGGGAAGGGACCTTACCTGAACAAAGAGCGACTCAGAACAACTCAGAGATACTCTCATGGACCCAGAGGGACAGATTTTCCATCTCCTGCTCCCTCTGTGCAAAAATGAAGTTTATTTCCTACTTATGGGAACCTTTTACCAGCTTTAATTTTCTCAGAGCCTGATGAAGGGCCTTTGAGCCCGAAAGCTTGCAGAAAAAGAGATTTTTGGGGGGGGGGGGGGGGGTCTGGGCCGGGCCGGGGCGGAAGTGCGGGGCAACCCGGCCCGGCCTGGCCCTAACGCGCCGTGTCCCCGCAGAGCAAGCAGGAAATCCACCGCCGCTCCGCCCGCCTGCGCAACACCAAGTACAAGTCGGCGCCGGCCGCGGAGAAGAAGGTGTCCACCAAGGGCAAGGGCCGCCGGCACATCTTCAAGCTGAAGAACGTGAGCGCCGGGTCCCGCGGCTGGGGGGGCCCCGGGGCGGCCCCAGCCAGAGCCTCCCACACGGGGCGCCTGGGCCCTGGCATCCCGCTGGGGGAGCGATGGCCCAGCTCATCCCAGCGCACAGGGCCGGGCAGCACCAGGCCCCAGGGCCCAAGCCTGGTGCGGGCAACCAGACCGGGAGGGGACGGCGCGAACCCATCCCAGGGCGAGGGGGCCGTGCCAGGAGGTCCCAGGACCCAAGCCCAGTGTGCAAGGCAGGCCTGTTTGACATATAGGATTAACGTGGGCTTGACACTCCTGGAGCAAGCAGGGTGCTTTTGGGTCTACGTCAGTTCATTTTAGGGTTAACTGAAGAGAAACCAAGGATGGGAGGGAGGTCATAGGTTCAAAACGAGTGCACCAAAGAGAGACATGGACAGTGCCCACTGGCCCTTGAACAAGTCCAAGGTGCACAGGGCAGGAAGGGGGCAGTGCCAGGCCCTGTGGCCTGATCCAGCCCATTGACCTGTCCAGCACTGCTCATAGGGCCAAAAGGTTGAGCACCACTGTCCTATACCAAGCCACTAACCTCTTAGCAAAACTACCCAGAGCACCATTCCCCTCTTTTTACATTAAACCTTCAGTCTGAGAGAACAGAAATATTAGTGACACCACAGTCTTAGATTATATCATAAATATATCATGGTCAAAGGAGTGCTCATTAATTTTTTGTTTTTCCCAGTATTCTGAGATGGAAGTCATTTGTCCTCTGTGCAGCAAAAAGCACTGTGTCTGTTTTCATGCAATTCTTTTAACCACCTCCTTTTATGTTGTGTTTTGTTTTTTTAGCCCATCAAGGCTCCTGAGTCTGTATCCACCATAATCACAGCAGAATCTCTCTTTTACAAGGTAAAGTGCATGTGCAAGAAAAGATTTTTGCCATTGTCCTTGTTCCAAAAGTTACCACAAATAGTGAAAGGATGTTATTTACCAGGAGAATTTACTTTCCCCTCAGCCTGTAATGTTGTCTCTTATCATTACCTGCCTACCCGTGAATTGTTTACTTCAGAAGACAATTGCAGAAGTTCTCTCTTGTTTCTTTTCTCTGAAGGTTAAGCATCAAATTGTATGAGTCGCATTATAGAGCCAGCTTTTTTTTAACTGAAGTTTGTAGAATTGCACTTCTTAATTTATGAATAAAAGGGTTACTCTGGAAGCTAAGTAAAAGTGATCACCAAAAATAATTTAAGTGTACAGCGTTGATCTAGAGTTTGCCTTTAAGTAGCCTTTGAGTAGTCATAAACGTTAGTGCAACCAGTGTGAATGGTGAAGTGACTTTCAGACACAAAGGGAACAATAAATAATAGGTGCATGAAAACACAGTCCAAACTTAAAAGAGAAAAAAATATTCTGTCTCTGGTATGAGTGTTTCTACCAACTCAGTAAATATAAATTCTTATATTGCCTGTTTGCTTTTTAACAGAAACTATAATAGGATGTTTACAGCAGAGCCCATAGTTGGGGTGTGACTGAACAATAGGAGTATTTAAACCAAAAAAAAAAAGAGCACTTATCTGCTTTGTTCAAGGGGGCAAATCAGGACCAACGGTAAATAAGTCACTGGTTACCTCAAAAAACCTGTTTATGCTACTGAAAATGTGTCTGCTGGCTAGTTGTGGCAACAGTCATTCTTTGTTGCAGTCCATGGAGGGTCTAGGTCAGTGATCCTTAACCTTTGAGTCTAGAATCACAGGCAGCTCCTTAGAGCGGTGTTCAGAGGGTTTTTCTGAATACTATTCCAGTAGGAGAGAGATGAAACCCAGATCCTTCCCAGAAATTGGTAGATGTTATATAGGTCTCTATCAGTGCTCCCATTCAGGATGGCCGGAGAACAAGTATTTCATTTCAGAAAAAAACCCTGGCATTTGAAATTTGCCTTCATTCTGCACTCAGGCAAAACAGAGACCTTTCAAAATTTGTTGTTCTAAAAGGGGGGGGGGGGGGGGGGGGCA